CTGTTGTTGGTTTTCTTGGGTCTGTCTTGAAGTAGATGGTTTCTAGGTATTCGTCTGGCTCTTTCAATTTGCTTTTTTATTTCTCCGGGTGGGTAGTTGAGGTTTATAAATGCTTGGTAGAGATCCTGAAGTTTCTGGTCTCTGTCAGTGGGATTAGAGCAGATGCGGTTGTATCGAAGGGCTTGGCTATAGACGATGGATCGTATGGTGTGTGCTGGATGGGAGCTGGAAGCATGTAGGTAACTATATGAGTTAGTGGGTTTTCTGTAGAGAGTGGTGTCTAATTTTCCATTGCTGATTTGTACTGTGGTGTCCAGGAAATGGATCTCTCATGTAGAATGGTCCAGGCTGAGATTGATGGTGGGGTGTAGGTTGTTAAAATCTCTGTGGAATGTCTCCAGTGTTTCTTGGTCATGCGTCCAGATCATAAAGATGTCATCGATGTAGCGTAAGTAGAGAAGGGGTAAAAGGGGACGGGAGTTGAGGAAACGTTGTTCTAGGTCAGCCATAAAGATATTAGCATACTGTGGGGCCATGTGTGTCATTGTGTTCCTGCCCCCTGCTGGACACAGCAATCATGTCCACAAGAAAGCAGCAGGAAAATATTCTCATGAATGGTATAAATTGGCCAATCTTATCGTAACAGAGTAAGCGCTGATGTGATTGTCCAGCACCTGCAGCCAAGTATAGAGGGTGCCACCTTCCCCTCCCTCATCTCAAGGCAACAATGCTGGCCCACAGTGCACAGCTTGAGTGCACTGGAAGGTCTGACACCAGCGATGCAGGCAGGGGAAGGAAAAAAAGCCTCGTCCAGGCAAAGCTCTTGTGCTTCCTTTGCTGATGCGCTGCAGTTTGGCATCTTGACCGGAGGCTTTGTTTCATGTCAGTCAGGGACAGCAAGTGTTGAGCCAAGTCCAGAAATGTGCTTCCTTCCTGCCCGTCATCACACGGCAGCAGGCTGAGCCTGATAAGCAATCATGCCGAAAATGTAACCCTGGAGGCGAACTTCTTTGGAAGGCTGGTATATGATAGTGGCATCTGTGTGTTACTAGTCTGCACTCCTGGATATCACACTGTCAAATTTCACCCAGTTTCCCTGTGCTGAGCCCAGTAACATGTTTCGCTAACTCATAGTTTTCAAAACACCAAATGCTCTGGTAGCACTTTATAGACTAACAAAACATGTAGATATCATCATGAGCTTTTGTGGGCACAGCCCACTTCTTCAGATGACCGGAGACCATCTGATGGATGTGCAGACCCAAAATAAATAGGGGAGAAGGGAGAGGGGGGAAGGAAAAAAAAAGGAGGCCGGAAACAAGGAGCAGCGGGCATGAAAATATCAAAGGGAAAAACAAGTAGGCAGAACTGGTAACCTATAAGCACGTAAAGAGTGGATAGTTAAACGAAGCAGATAAGGATCATAGGATAGCAATTAGATAGGAAGGGTACTAACGCAAGACTCTACACAGACAAAGAGCTGTTGGCACCTTCATTGAATGTTAGGTTGATAATGTCCCAGCCATTCTTTATCTCGATTGAGGAGGTTATCAGTGTGAGAATTGAATTTGTGAATGAATTGTAATTCCAATGCCTCTCTGTGTATATGTCTTTAGAACTGGTTTGTGACAAGTCAGCTATCTGGGCATAACGTTCAGAAAGGCAACCAGTGTTGCTCTGAAGATAGCTAGTCATGTAGAACCCACCACTTCCCTTGATAGCCTGTTCCAATGGTTAATCATTCCTTATTTCTAATTTTAAATTTGAATTTGTCTGGCTTCAGCTTTCAAGCATTGGTTCTTGTTCTGCCTTGCTTCGCTAAAGAGTCTTTAGTGCAGTGCTGGGCAGCCTAGGCTAGTAAGATAGGGTAGTTTTGCTAACTGCACTTGTGTACCTAGAATTTGCAGGGGGTGCCAACTGAACTGTAGCAGTGCTTTGATTAGGTGCAGAGAGAGCACACAGCTCTCAGTCAATACTGTGTGCAATCAGCGGGCCCCTCACTTCACATGCCTTTGCTTTATGTGTGTGTCACTTTAATAATACTGGTTGGAAAAAAACTACATGGACAGAAACCAGCGGAATCTGCAAAAGCGACGAGGAGTCCTGTGGCACCTTATAGACTAACAGATTTATTGGAGCATAAGCTTTCACGGGCAAAGACCACACATCTGATGAAGTGGGTCTTCGCCCACAAAAGCTTATGCCCCAATAAATGTTAGTCTATAAGGTGCCACAGGACTCCTCGTTGTTTCCATGGGACAAATTGTAGTTTAAAAGGGAGGTAATTCCATGGTGTGACCAATAAGAATATTATTAGGAAGGCTATATTGTAAATATTCTTAAGGTACTATTAAAGCTCCGTGGCTATGGGGGGGCCCCCAGCCCCAGGCATGCGGCTGGGGGGGGCCGCCCCCGGGCAGGCAAGTGTCCCCGCCCCCTGGCGGGGGAACGGCCACGCCCCCTGGCGCCCGACAACCTTGAAAGGTTGGGGACCACTGCTCTAAGGTGCCACAGAACTCCTCGTCGCTTCTGCAGATTCAGACTAACACAGCTACCCCTCTGATACTTGACAGTGGAATCTGGTAATCCTGCACGTGGGCAATGGTAAATAAATTGTCTCGTGGCTTACACATAGAACCTCGATGGGCCACATGTGGCTCAGGGGCCATAGGTTGCCCACCACTGCTTTCATGTCTGGTATTTTCTCCTAGGCTACATCTACACTGGCATGATTTTCCAGAAATCCTTTTAACGGAAAAGTTTTCCATTAAAAGCATTTTCAGAAAGGCGCATCTAGATTGGCAGGACACTTTTCCGCAAAAGCACTTTTTGCGGAAAAGCGTCCGTGGCCAATCTAGACACGCTTTTCCGCAAAAAAGCCCCGATCGCCTTTTTCGCGATCGGGGCTTTTTTGCGGAAAACAAATCTCTGCTGTCTACACTGGCCCTTTTGTGCAAAAGTTTTTCGGAAAAAGACTTTTGCCCGAACGGGAGCAGCACAGAATTTCCGCAAAAGCACTGACAATCTTACATGAGATCGTCAGTGCTTTTGCGGAAAGTCAAGCAGCCAGTGTAGACATCTGGCAAGTTTTTCCGGAAAAGCAGTTGCTTTTCCGGAAAAAGTGGCCAATCTAGACACAGCCCATGTGAAGTAGACTGTAATCAAGTCACCTCTCGGGCTTCTTTTCAATAACGTATTGAATTCTTTCTTTCTCTCTACAGCATTTGTTCCAGCACCCATTTCGATGCTGTGGCTCTTTTCTGCACCCTTGCCAGGTTTTAAAATATTGATGCTAGAAGTGGACTAGTATTGGTCTTATCAGAGCTGTACATGGAGATAAAAAATCTTGGGTACACACTACTCCCTTGTTTACCCATCCAAGGACCACATTAGACCATTTTGACACAGCTTTGACCTGGGAGCTCAGATTCAGTTGCTTGCCTAAAATGACCCCCGAATCTCTTTCAGAGCCATTGCTTTCCAGACTTCTG